CTATTTTTTGGTTGCAGCCGCCATTGTTGTTTGGTGGGTCTGGGCTGGATTCGAACTCGTCACCTTAGGTGTATGTGGCTGGTGCCTTAGCCACTTGAGCCACAGGCGCCGAGCCAATAAGCACATACTTAAATTATTTTAGAAGATATGAGATAGTGACTTGTGTATGCACAGCAGAATTTTTAATTACTCCACTATAAGTGGTACACAGCCTATGAAAGTGGATCCTGACAGGTGTAAGGATCCAGAAGTCTTCAAGTTCAAATATGTAGTATTGCTATCATTCAGTTGATATTATTTTTAAGTTACACTAATAGTTCTTTTTGACTATTTACAAACGTGTTTTTAGGTTTTAGGTCACTTTCCTAATCATCTGGGTACTCTCATATGATCTCAGTGCTTTAATACCACTTATATTCCAATGACTTTAAGATTTACTCTTGAAGGGATATTTGTTTTCCCCAAATCTCAGATTTCTTTACCCAGCTCCGTGTTTGATATATTCATCTGATTGCCAAATTGGCATCTTAAAATTGACATCTCCACAATGCATCTCTTAATAACTGTTCCTAAGCCACTGTCTGCACAGTCTTTATCTGAGCAAATTATAACTACTTTTCCTGTTTCTCAGCTCCAGAACCCCAGAGTTTTGCTTTATCTCTCTCTAATAACCCCCATCAAATGTGTCTGGAAATCCTGTTGTCTTTACCTTAGTTCATATGGTAGTTACTTCTCACCACCTCCTCCGCTTCTGCTCTGACACAAGTCACATTCACCTCTTTATTGTTGCAGTAAGTATCTTTTCTCCACTTCTTACTTTATACCCCTTGGCTGCTTTTTCTCCTTAGCATCTCTTGCTGCATTATATATAATGTATTTTATTAATTTTATTTGTTTTTGTCTTCTTCTCTATAATAAAAGCCTCCATATGGATAGGGAATTGAGTGCATTTTATCTTCACTGCTGTATTTTAAGCAACAACATTTGGGCTACCATATAGTATATGCTCTCCAAATTTAGAAAGAATGAATGGAGACTGGTGTATGCAGTTGTCAGCTGCACAGTGGCTACCTTGCTGTCCCTCAAATTATTTGACTGAGACACGGATTAGCACACTGTAAGTTTATAAGGAGCGTTGTGGGAATCAATGTGTGTGAAAGAGAAGAGGACAAAGCAGGACTGGGCAAACAGAAAATGGGCTACGATGCAATCCAGCAAAGACCTCAGCTGACACTACGAAGCCCTTCAGTCGCAATCCTAACAGACCAGGCATTTCTGCTTTGTAGTCACCAGGCATTGGGTGCAGGCTACCCTGGTGTAAGACCTTAATGACACAGCATGGCCAGTTAAGGGAAATTTCCAGAGTGAGATGAGAGCTGAGACTGGTGGCAGCAATCCCAGCAGCTAGGAGAAAGGACCTCTAAGCCAGAAACGAGGGTTTTGAGGTGTTTAAAACTGCATTTACCAAGTACACTGTACACTTAGGACTGTTTCCACTTCCTGAGAATTGCATAATCAATTCCTGTACCTCCTGCAACTCCTTAAGATGTTACTTTCTAGTAAAGCTGTATTTTTTCTATTTAAAATTAAAATATGTACTCTTTATAGTCAAAAACCCATATCTTCTAATATAGACTACCTATAGATTCCTCATCTATAAGTAATAGATTACTATTACTAATTATTGTCTGTCTCCTCCAACTAGAAGATATGAACTATGAAGACAGAGGTTTGTGTCTATTATGTTCAATGAAAAAGAATACACACGGACACTGAGAATACTATCCATAGTACTGCAAACATGTAATATTTGTGGAATGAGATTTCTAGGCATCTGACTGACTTGAATTTGTGATATATGTAATAGTTAGTATTCCAGAGATTTATGATAGATCTTTTAATTTTACAACTATGCCATGGAGAATGAATCAAAGCCTGACTGCTAAGACAAGCTTGTACAGTAGCTCACTGCCAAAACATTTCAAGGCCGTTTTTTAAAGCAACTATAAGGACATAAGTTCTACCTATGGGAACGCCCAACAAGTTCCAGGCAATAATATGGTTCCTTAATGGTTGCAGTAGTTCTAATATGTCTTCAATTTTGAGGTAGTTGTCTTTCCATGTTGTCTCAGAGTCCAGGATACTTGAGAGGCTTAGAGGGTAAGCAACACTCTATTAATAAGCTGTATCCACCTGCGGGGGCTCCCAGAAGAGTTCATAAAAGGAAGATGCAATAGAGAAAGATGCCACCAGAGGGCACTGTGATACCTCTTTGTGATGATCAGCTTTCCTGAAAGGGATTGCAAATAAAGATGCTTGGGGACAAAAGCTTAAAAAAGAATCCCCTCAGAACATACAGAAATATTTTGCTGCTGTAGTTAATGGCTTTGCTTCATTTTAAAAATACATAGGAAAATGAAGAATGCTATAAGTGTCACTAGGACTTAAAAAATGCCTATTAAAAAATAAAAAGGATATTAACAATTCACAGAAAAAAATAGACAAATATCCCTTAAATGTTATCAAAAATGTTCAGCTGAGTGGCGCCTGTGGCTCAGTGAGTAGGGCGCTGGCCCCATATACTGAGGGTGACTGATTCAAACTCAGGCCCAGCCAAACTGCAACAAAAAGCAGCCAGGCGTGGTGGCGGGTGCCTGTAGTCCCAGCCACTAGGGACGCTGAGGCAAGAGAATCGCCTAAGCCCAAGAGCTGGAGGTTGCTGTGAGCTGTCATGCCACAGCACTCTACTGAGGGTGACAAAGTGAGACTGTTTCTCTAAAAAAAAAAAAGTTCAGCCTACCTCGCAATTTTTAAAAATGCTAAAAACTGACATTGAAATAATAAAATTTTTTAATCAAGTTTTCAAAAACTTGGATAGGTGTCTGTCCACCCAAGCAGTCTCATAGATTGCTGGTGAGAGCACAGGTTGGTTTGGTTTTCAAGGACGAAAATTTAGGTACTGTATCTAAAAATTATGATCTCCCTACACATACGTGTAAGAATGTATCCTATGTGTGTGTCTCTTAGGTACCAATTTATGCATATACAATTATTATCTCTTTAATAATAGCAAATGATTTTTTAAAAAATGAATTTGTGGACTAGGCCCAATAGTTCACACCTGTAGTCCTAGCACTTTGAAAGGCCCCAACAGGAGGATCACTTGAGGCCAGGAGTTTGAGAGTAGGCTGAGCACAAGCGAGACCCCATTTCTATAAACTCACACACACACACAATTGAAAAATTGAAAATCTAGCTGGGCATCTTGGCTCCTACCTGCATTTTCAGCTACTTGGGAGGCTGAGGCAAGAGGATAACTTGAGCCCAGGAGTTTGAGGTCGCAGAGAGGCACCACTGCACTCTAGCCAAGTGACAGAGCAAGACCCTGTCTTAAAAAAACAAAAAATAGATCAAAGTGGGGGGACTTCTGTTTAAATGAATCCTGTTATATTAAAACAATAGACATGAAGCTAAAAATAATGAGGATGATGGAGATGCTCTTTATTTGGTGAGATAAACCCTTCTAATTTAAATAAAAAATGCAATTACATGATAGTGGAAAAAGCATGTAATACTTTTAAAAGAAAAGTGAGAAAAATATATATACACATTTTGTATTTACAGAAGGAAATCTTGCAAGAACACACAGACACCAATAGCTATGATGTCACTGGATGAGAAATAAAGAGAAAGGCAGGGAAGAGAGGAACACATCCTGTAAACTACTTTCTGTGTCTTAGGTCGAAGCAGGCTCCCTCGGTGCTACCTATCGTCTCATGCTGCCTGTGACTCAAAAACGTCACTGCTCCTCTCCAGCACACTCTCTCTATTCTGACTCCTTCTAGATGGCAGTAACTGCTTGTTGTTCTCATCCCTAGAAGCCTAGGGGTGGTACCCACTCCATCGCACCTCCTGTTTCCTTACATACAGGAGCTGCAGGATTGTAAATAGGTCTTTATTAAGCCCTCCTCAAATTTTCCTAATTTGGGAGTGCCATTTGTTTTTAGTTGGTACTAGATTTATGTTCAAGAAGTTATTATCTAAGTGAGGTCTGATTAAAGTCTATTGTGGCAGTAGCAGAAGGAATGAAGGGAAGTCAAGTATAATCCAGAATGTTACAAGAGAGATGTGAATTCTAAAGGAAGGCTGTAACGAGCTCTATCAGGAGATCCAGTTCAGAGCCCAACTCCAAATCCTGAAGAGGGGGGAAAGGCAAATGTGGGACAGTCTGCAAGACTGATCTGTCACTGCATCTGCTGTACGTTGAGCTAAGCATTTTAAGCCACCCAGCTTTATAGCAGACTGGCTCAAGACTAAGCATCGTAAGTCAAATGGCTTTATTCATGGGCAGTAAAAAAATCCTGCCTGGCACCATCCAAACAAGTGGTGGCCCAGCTCACAGATTTTGGCCAAGCCTGTGATTTCATCTTGTGGTCAAACTGTTTTGCCCGTAAGCTCCATAGCAGCAACCCTTGGTGTGTCTGCAGAGGCATCAGCTATTCACCAGGGTTTTACTAGTTGAGGAATATAAAACAGCACAAGCATAGGAACTAATGGAAACTCATCATCAAATTCTGTTTCCTACTGCGATTCCTTTTCATGGCTAAAAAAATGAAATATTTTCAACATTAGTTTCTTGGATTTAAAAATGCATTTTGATTTACAGTCTCCAAGGGCAATGTGTAGAAAATGGCTTCCTAAATTAACACATCAATTACTTGAGCCACATGGATAGGAATGATTGTTCTCAAATAATAAATAACCATGTATAAGGAGCATTTTATGGGATATAAAATATAGATGGCCCCTTTGACTTACACAGGTGCTGTATTAATCACTGAGGTGTAAATTACAGAGGTGAAGAGCTGACACTTTTTCCCTTTGTGTTGTGAGTTCTGATAAATGAGTATCTAATGTGACAGGAAAAGATAACATAATGAATATCTTATTATGCTTCAAGGAACACGAAAAAGTATGACTGACACTATGCTTCGTTCCAGGTAGGAATAAAAGGCAAGCAGTTTCTGGCCCGTGGCATTCGGTTACCAGTGTCTGACCGACGGCATGTTGGCACCAGTGATGAGGGGAGTGATGGGCTTCGGCTCCAGGTGGGTCCTTATAACCACAGTGACTGGTTCTCCAGGACACGATGTGTGCATCTTTCTGAATGTAGCCACAGAATTCACAATTCCTGACTGCAGCAACCCTTTTACCTTTCCACAATACTAGGGCACAGCGCTTCTTTAAAAGAGAAAAGCTTTAAAATTCTAAACTGTCTTGAAAGTCAATGCATATCCTGGTGTTCGCCCTCTTAACTTCAAGTTATAGAATGGTAACCATGACTAGATTTTCTTCTGAACTACAGGTTAGAATGCCTGAGTAGAATAAAAGACAAAGCTTCATGGCGGGGGGCGGGAGAGAATATTTCTAATAGTGATCAAGCGAGGGAGACCGGAGTTATCATCCGGGATTTTGACTGGCACATTGCTCGGTGCCTTATTAATGGCAGGTCCTGATGGGCTGAGTTAGCCTTGAGGGCCCTGAATTTTATCACTTTCAGAGTCAAGCGATTATGGCAGTCCTGTAACTCAAAGGACTCGTTGATTTCTGGTCTTAAAGTTATAAGAGGTAAGATCACTGACACCAATTCCAATTATGATCCTCCCTGAGTCTGTACCTTCCAGAGTCCACAGCGAGAATATATTTAACATGTCATGTAGAGACATTACTATGGAACTTTTGTAAGCTAAATAGAGTAACAAGTTATTAGTTCAGGGAATGGGATATATATATTATACAAGTTAATTTTAAATTTTTTTATACATTATAAGGATTACACACATGTCTTGTGTAATTCACAAAAAAAATCTCTGCCTTTCAAGGACTAGTAAAGAAGATAAACCACTAATCAAGACCGCTAAGGCAAGTGCTATAGAAAAATTCAAGGGATGTGCATTAGTAGTTGGTCTATTTATCAAATGCCCTAACAATTCCTCCTCCACAGCAATTTTATATCTGGTGACACAATGTGAGAAAATAATGGGAGCTGTCTGAAGGGATTTTAAATGGTGGTTCTTACAGTCTTTTTAATAGCAGTGAAAATTTTAAATAGCCCCAAGATGTTACCTTATAGAGTTCATGAAAAAGATTATTTTTTCAAGTAGTGAAATTCTATAGAACTATCAAAACACATACTTCAGAAGTATACTTGTGAAAGAAATTTTTTTTTAATTTTAAAAAAGCAGGTTCAAAATATTGTCCTAGGATAACATTTTATGTAGAGAGACAAAGAGATAGATCAGTAAGATGAAATGATTTTTATTGCATTTTTCTCTTCCTGTTTTTTTATTTCTAATTAACTGTGTTTGTGACTGACATTTTTCTTTACTCTGGAAAAATATTTAATTTTGAAATTTAAGTCATTGAAATTTTTTCATGAGAAAAACTAGGATAGAGAAGAGCAAGGTGGTATTGTATAGAAGGATTATATTACAAAAATACAGTGAAATCCTGTGTTCATATCAAAGCAGAGAATGAGTATACCTACGTAAAGTTTTTCTAATGAAAATATAAAGCTTTTGTATTTTATGTAAATGAGAGTTTGGAAAAGTCGAGATAATAGTTCAAAAAAAAAAGCAGATACTGATGAGGAAGGGAGTAGGGAAGGGACCGCCCAGGTGACTCAATAGGCCTGAATTATCCTTAATGGACAAAACGGGCAACTTTGTCAATTATAAACATTTTGACTTTTTTTTTTTCCTTTCCTTTGTGTCATTAGTGAATTTACTGTTGGTGATTCTTTATCATTCTCTTTTTTTTATACTCCTCCCCAACGTACACTTCATAAATGTTGGAGCTAATTAAATAAAAAGAGAAAAATGGAAGATGTGAGTATAATCATAGTTTAGATTTGGCAACATACAAAATAGGCACGGGAGACAGAGATTGTCTTGGCCGACCTGGGCTTAAATCTATCTGCTGTTCCTGACTCAGTGACAAGACCCGGAAGGCAGTTCCTTTAAGCCTGGGAGGGTTCAATCACTCATCCGTTTTAAAGTGTGCCCATTCTGTAAGTCAACATATACGTTTGTGGAAGTCTTTTATAAAGTCTTTTATAAATGTTCAAGCATTTTATAGGTATGGTCACAGGTTGATATTGCCAAACAAGAAGATTAGACAAAGGATTAAGTTTAGAGAAACTAAAAAAATCAAGAAATAAATTGGCTCATAAAATGAAATTTGTGTGTGTGGAGAGACCGATGACTTCTATCAAATTAGATCCTAAATTAACTTTTTGTTTTCCTTTCTTTTTCTTCCACTTGATATGAGGTCAGCTACCACCAGCCAAATTTACGAATTAAAAATATTCAGCTAATATCAATTCTAATAATGTTAATAGTAAGAAATGTTTCCGAGTTCTTCATTTTTTTTCTACTTTGTAGCTTTGTATGTCTTTGTTGTCATTCTTGTAGTGGAACGTCTCTTTACTGTGTATAAGGGATTGTCAAGTAGATATTTGCAGGGAAAGTTTCCTTCTTTTCACTTTAAAGTATGTAGCTTGCCCATCAGATCAGTAAGGTTCAATAGTTTATAAGGTTCTGTCTTTTGTTAAAAAATGGAGTTAAGTAAGCTATGGGCCAAAACCAAGATAATAAGCTTGGCAACGTGAAGCAACTTCCTTTTATTAAATTCTCTCACAAAATAAATGTGGTATGGAAATTAAAGACACAGAATATTAAGATAGCATTGATTCATTGATCTGGAAATTAATAACAACCACATCATATTAATAACAATGACCTGAAATTTAATCTGCAGCTAACATCCTGCAGCAACAAAAGTTATCTAATATTGCCAGTAAGTGAAGTAATGTCAAATTTTAACAGTTGAAATTATATTTGCTAAAAACCTATAATATGAATATTTTTTAAAGTGTGGTCAAATGTTGGAAATTATGAGAAAATGAACGTTACTTCATATGAACAAAGTTCTATCTGTCATTCAAGGTCATATGCCCAGAATAAATCAAAATGGGTCTCATGTTGGTTGCACTTAAACCACGTATAGCTCCAACAGTATGTAGGAAAATCTAGGTGAATGAAGTGACTACTGCCCAGACCTCTTAAGTGGGCTTTTCAATGTGTCCTTTCTTCATATACTCTCAAGAAAATGCAAATAACGTGGAAATGATCTAGGGCTGAAAGAATGAACCCGACTCTCATTCAATGATGCCTACCAAAAATTAATTAAAAAAGAAATATTGAGCATTTTCTAGGTAGAACAGGGAGATGCAGATATTAATAAAATATTTCTGCCCTCAAGTGAGTTATGGTGGATGATATCCCCCATAGGAGATACAGTAATTAGATACTACTAAAGAATATGTTATACATTCACATCTAAATAACTATGTAAGTGTTAGGCGCTGAAGGATAAGTGGAGATCAAATGCTGCTTGTCTTTTAGAAGACAGATGACTTGTACCTTGTACTAAAGCGACTGAGCTTGGCTTCTCCAAGGAAGTTGAATTTGATATAAATCCAACAGGGCAGATGTGGGAGCTGGGAACGGCATGTATATGGGGGAATAATACGCAATGTGCTCAAATGTGGAGGATGCAGTAATTCTTTTTGTTAAAAACAGAAAGGTCGTAATGAAAGATAATGCTGAAAGAAAGGACAGAGGTTACATTCAGTGGGTCTTAGATTTTATCCTGAGGAGTTTGTTCTTATTTGATCCTCCTCCAGCGATCTGTGCGGTTTATAATGCGTCAGACCCCCCCCATAACATCAAAAGTAGACATGCTTTTAAATATGTCTTCTAACTTAATATAGAAATACTCAATATTTTATGCCCATTAAGTATGTAATAGTTATTACTGAATCTACAAAGTTTCTGCCAGTGCTTAAATACCATAGCAAATCACAAAAACAATTAACCTCCTAAGGCATATAAAACACAAAACTTAAATGCATAAATACTTTTTCCTACAATATTTGATTCACAGCAAACTATTTTCAAGGTTACAAAACAGTCTCTGTAATTATTAAAACTGATCTTGCTTTTTTCCATGTGTAGTAAACAGACTTCAAATCAATGATGGCATAAAGCTGATGAGGTAAAAATAGAGACTTTATGGTAACGTACAGAGAATGATGAGGTAAAAATAGAGACTTGATGGTAACGTACAGAGAATGATGAGGTAAAAATAGAGACTTGATGGTAACGTACAGAGAAATATTCCCAAACCTTTCTCTTTCTAACCAAAGTCTAGTGGGAAACCCATAGATTTGCCTTCTGGAAGCACCTGTGTCAGTGATTCTCTACTAAAATTGTGCTTGAAATTTTTTCATTACTAGTTAGAAATCTTGACTTCAGTTTTTAACTATCATTTTAGTCACGAATGAGTCCTATATCTTTGAGGCTTATAATTTTTTGTATTTATCTTCACATTCATCAAAGTCTTAAATCCTGGCGTCTGTATCGTCTTCCTCTGGGCCCTCTCCCCTGTCCTATTCATTCGACATTCATTTATTGAAGTAAAACAGTTTTCCATGTCCTGAGTTTTCTTTCACAGCCTCCTTCATTTTTTTTTTTTCTGCCCATATATCTTTTTTTTTTTTTTGAGACAGAGCCTCAAGCTGTCCCCCTGGGCAGAGTGCCGTGGCATTACAGCTCACAGAAACCTCCATCTCCTGGGCTCAAGCGAGTCTCCTGCCTCTGCCTCCCAAGTAGCTGGGACCACAGGCGCCCGCCACAACGCCCGGCTATTTTTTGGTTGCAGCCGTCATTGTTGTTTGGCGGGTCCGGGCTGGGGACTCGAACCCGCCACCTTAGGTGTACGTGGCTGGCGCCTCAGCCGGTTGAGCTATAGGCGCCGAGCCTGCCCATATATCTTTTAAAACTCAATTATTTTTGGCTTGGACAACTAAAATGTTATCTACTGAGAATCTCATTTGTGTCCCACATCTACGGTTGTCCCTCTCTCCTTCATCCCAGTGTCATCACAGCTTTTCTTCTGAGAGAAAAGCACTATCCGGTAATTGTTATCAAAAAATGATATTTTCTTCATATTGAGTTTTTAAGGGCTTGACATGTGGCAATGAAAA